TTCTAGACTGCAGAGCCTGAATTACCTGCAACGTTATGCTTCTTATGAAACATCAGCCAGCCTACAGATAGAAACTCCCTTTTCCAGCTTTAAGCAAGAGGAACCACAATGAGATACAGATCTTGGTATCATGGACTGGTCACTTTTTACAACCAACACTACTTGTAAAATAAGATTTACAAGTTAATTCCTATAAGCTATTAAAAATGCTCTAGTCAAGGTACTAAAATGTTGCCATCGAGTTTGAGGTTTTGGGTTTGATAAAATGTTAACATAAAATATTTTAAAGGAAGTAAACGCTTTAATGATACTTCCAAGATTTCCTATATTTTAAACAGAATTTTAGAATCTTGCAGAAGAAAAGAGAAGAAATAAAAAGCTATTATTCTGTCATGGAGGTTATTGTTACCAAACTCACATTACATAGATAATGTTGTTCATGGCAATAAATCTTAAAATATCAAATTGGAATTTCTTAAATAGTAATTCATCTGAGCAGCAGTTTGATGACCTATTTGGAACTCTTCCTAGAGGCATTTCTTGCATGACTATGTATCGATAATTACCTGTTGGTGCTTAAAGTGCTATTGTAGCAATTGCACAACAACAAATACAAAATAAACAACAGAACATTGTGATTGAGTGAAAACAGATTTTTCCTGCAGGAAATATATTAACTCTGACTTATGTTGTCCTTAGAATTTTTGGTCAAAGCTGATAGAAAAGAATTGATGATTAATTTCACATAGAAAAATTATTGCATCAAGAAACCACATTCTCACCGACTGCGTGACCTTACATGACAATGTATTTCATCCTTAGATTAACAACCGTATGAGTAACAGAAATATTTGTGAAAAGTATTACTCTTTTAATCTCCATAAAGGTAACTCGAATAGAGAGTGGCAGATATCAGCTGCAGTAGTTTTAACAACTGGCTGATACTTTCATAGGAGCACTTTTATTTGTGTCATTTAAAATATTGTAATTGTATCCCTTGAATGTGCTTGCTATGCTCATCATTTACAAAATGTAGATTTCATTCATTAAAGCATAAACATATTGATTATACTCTAAAATCTGTGTTAATTTTATTTTGTATGTATTTTTTGTCTTTTGTCTTGGTGATAATAATTACATGATGATAAAGGGCAATGATGTGATTCAAGAATGGTGTGTTTGTATGCTGGTGAGTTATTGTTATAAGTTGGTGTTTATTTATTCATTTTTGTTCTTTTTTTTTTTGTGGGGGAAGGGGGGGGGGTGTTCATAAAGAAACAAAATTACGGCAAGCAAAGCGTTGTGATTTTAAGGCCAAAATCGATTTTATTTATTTAGTGAAACTGCTGCTAAAATTGAAATCAATTTTAGGCCCTTAAAATCGATCAAATCGATTTTAGATCGATTTTAGGGCTTTAGTGAAACACCCCCCAGGAAGAGTAGAAATTGGACTCTTTTTAAAACCCCATTTCTATTACCTTTGGAGAATAAAATAAAAGTGGCTGCATCTCCATTATGCCCCACCTACATTCAATTGAATTATTATCATGATTTTTCACAGACAGATTTTGTTTACGAATCTCCTATGTTTAAAACGAGGAATTAATGAATCTGTAGAAAATGTGTGGTTCAATATAACTTTAGTGATTTTGAAATGCAACATTACTTACAGGAAATATTGTTTACATGTTGTTGAATTTGCAATCAATGAGTTATTCGCAAAAATAAATACTTATAAAGTAATAAATTATCTCTTCTCATTATCTCAAAACTCTATCTCTACCTTTCTATGATTAAGTATAATTCATGTCCAAATATACTTCAAATGAATCTTTTGATAAAGTAATTCACAGGACTAATATGATTTATCTATCCTTAATTGACATGTGTGACCTTTGAAATATCATATTCATTTAAAACTTATTCTCCATAATCTATACATACCAGCTTCTGAGGTTCTAAAAGGATCCGTGGGTGATGATTTGACACTAAACCGTCTCCCATCTGGTATGTTGTTATTAAATGCTTGTATACTGATGCTGTAGGTTGTATATGGTGTAAGCCCGTCATAAACAGTGCTGGTTCCGCTTCCCAGGGTAGCTTTGATAAACAATTGGAGAAAGGAAAATGATCTTACAAAGTATTAATAGCATTATCGAACAGATTTGAAAAGCACATCAACACAACTCCCTTCAAGCATGATATTATACAAATGAAACATCTTTGCGATTGCATTAGGGAATATGCACTGCACAAATATTAAGTCAAAATAGGATAATGAACAAAACTTGTTGAGTTCATTGTCCGTCTCATTGCGACCGAAACCAAGTGTAGTGTATATCACTAATGTATGAGCAGTACAACATGAATGATTTGCTTTTAAAATGGGACTTCAATATGAATATGAAGTAAAGAAATCAACATCAACATGCCACAAGTAACACAGTCATGGAGGACTCCATTTGGCTTATTACAGGTACTATGTTCCATTTGCAGGCCCTCCAAAATAATTAAATTCTAACAGCATTTGAAAGATAATACTAATTTAGAACTTCCCTAAAAAAGAAAGGGCTTGAAAATGTCTTTTAGTGAAAAACTATTTTTAATCCTTTTAGTAATAGTCTGATTTTCAGAACCTTGTACGTTGTACGTTTTGTGCTACGCAAAGATTCAATCGGTTTAATTTTGGCCATTACAAGAAGTGGGTTATTGATGTACTGTAGACAAATGCTCATGTACCCTTTATTGCTCATTTTATGTATGTTATTACCAGAACAAAAAAAGAAGTCAGTCAGTCACTCAATAGTGTCTGACAGTAAAGTCTCGAAAGTAAATGGGTTTCATTGCCTAATTTGAATACGAGGACACTGCTAACGTTTACATTTTACAGATAGGACATACGTGATATATTCATAATTTCTGCAAAGAATTTTATGTTGGCTGCAAATGGGACATACCGGTAGTACCTTTAAATGACATTACATAATATAAGCAGAGCCAAACAGTGTAATGCACAGCTCAGTATGCGCATCAATGTCCTTGCCATTTGAAACAATGTGCACATCATGTCCGAGACTTAGCCAAGCATTATCACTATTAGCCATGTGATATCACTTTTTTGCACTGGTAGGCGTGGTAGACCAGAAGAATGCAAAATCACGGGTTGTCACCTGACAGATTAGATTGTCTACATGCTAAAGCTCATTATGTAAAGGATTAATACAATACAATAAAGTAATTTCTATAGCATTCTTACAAACAACGCTTTACATAAAAGTTATCAAAGAATCTTAAACTTCATTTTCAATGCATGGTTTGATGCTCACTGCTCCAGTAGATCAGCCCTTTCAGGAAAGGGAACTTTTAGGGCTAAATATATCATACATTGTTCTTCAAATTGGCAACGATAATATTTTCCTTTTAGTGTTTATTTTTCTAATAAAATGTATTGTCTCTGGAAACTGTATACGTGGATATAAATTTTGTTGAAAAGTTGATAAAATGGCTAAGTTCCATAAAAAAAAATGACTAAGTTCCATTTAAAAAATGATTTTGAACCTCTTAAAGTGTTGCCAATTAAAAAAATTAACGGGTTATTTTCCCTTTTAAATTTTTTGGCTGAGTAACCAATGTGGTCATGCAACAGAAATGGAAACAATATGTGCAGAAATGTTTGCCCTTTATTTCCATGCGTCGCAAATATTTGTTTGGGGTCTGAATAAAAACTTACATAGATATAACACAAAATGTGGATTGTTTGGGCTAAATACGGATCAAACCAGTGATTTGCAAAGAGCTACAGATAAATTGACTACTTCCTACAGATCTTACAACATACGATTATTTTCAATAAAAGATCTCGTATTCAGACACGGATCCGAGGGGGGGGGGGGGGGGGGGGTGGGCCTTGGCCCCTCCCCCCTGGCCAAAAAGGGCAACAAAAAAGGGCACAAAAAAAGTTTAAAGTTTAAACAAAAATTGTGATAAAAAAAAATGTACCTTTTTTCTTTGCTCAACCCCCCCCCCCCCCCCCCCCCCTCTGAGCGAAATATCGACCGGCGAGATTTTCAAATTTTGGGGTCAAAATAGAAAAAAAATAGTTTCCACTACCCCCACCCCCACATTCCGAGGCTGAGACGGATCTGAAATGAAGTAGAATCATGCATTTTAAGACTTAATTATAACTCGAGATCAGGGGGTCAAATGGTTCGATACTGCTTCGTATTTATGTTGCACATCAAATAATTATCGGTCCCTCTTCTGGTGACTTAGCAAAACTGGCTACAAAATTGAAAGGCTAGTTAAACTAGTTAAATACATATACAAAACAATCCCCTAATAATTTTTCTATGCAAGGGTCTTTATATTTATTGTGGAAGAACTTAAACAACTTACATTAAACTTGAAAGGTATTACAAAGTTTTAGTACGGGGTCATGAATTTGGTTCAAATGAACATATTGGAAGCATATGCGATCCTACAATATTCAGTGATCGTTGTCATGGTTGAAATCGAGTCTAAAGTTATGAAATTGTAAATAATACACTCTTTATGTTGCATAGCTTCGTATGAAGGTCAAGATATTAATTAAGCTATCAAACAATGTTTCTTGACTAAAATCGACCGATAAGCTATTCCCATTTGGAAATTATATATCACAACTACATATTCTGAGATTTTCATGGTCGCAGCTACCATTGTACGGCCGTAGGCGCTATTTGAGATTTACCAAAATTTACCGGGAGTACCGGTAAACTTTTATTTTCCTTTTTTCTCGAAACCAGAAGAGTTTTACATGCTAAAATTTTGGGTGCTTATAATACATCCACAGGGGCATCCAAATATATCAAAATTGTAAAGAATCACTATCCACCCAATTTTCAAAATTTACCAAAACTTTGTATTACCTTTAATAAAAACTCGTAGAAGGATAAATGGAGAAATATATGCAGAAAATATATGTGGGACCACTCATACACTAAGATACATGCGTGACTCTTTCATTTCGGGTGACATAAGAATGAATAAACATGCAAGATAATGTTCATACTTCCAGCTAGGGTTCGTTGGGGTGGAAAGTCAAGAGGCTCGCTGCTTCCAGCAAGATTCACACAGATCAGCTGTAACTCGTAGATGGTGTAGGGCTCCAAGACCGTCACGATACCCGGTGATGTACTTCCCACATTTTTGTCCTCTGTCACATTGGTGCCTGGAATCCTGTATTTGGCTGTGCAGTTGATGTCATCGTCATTGCCTTGAACTGGGAATTCCCACACAAGCTGAAGTTCCATGGAGAGGACATTGGAATATCCTGGATTAGCAAGTTCTGCCACTTCTGTGAAAGATACAGGACGGTCAAAATGTTCAAAAGTTTTATATTCATAGTTGGTGTTTCAGAGGTTTTGTAGTCTAGCCGTACTTTACTTCAGATGAAAAGGTCAAGGGTTAGAGCCCTGGGATTACACTTGCACCTATCACATCTTCTTTTTCTGCTCAATTACTTCTGTCACAAACTGCTCCCTCAAATGCTGGGCCACAAGTGCAGCTCCCATCGACATTACTGCAGTTAGCCCCATCCACGCATGTACAGCTCTCCATACAAGAGTCTCCAAAAGTACACGCCGGACAGCCCAAAATAGTTGCATTAGATACGAGTAGTTAAACAACAACCCCCCCCCCCTCCATCCGACACACTCTAACAACAATCATTACAATCGTAATTTTACTGTGCAATCAGATTACCAATCTCAGTGTAATACAATGGCCTCGAACGAAACATTCGCTTCACATCTTCTGAAAGATCCAGACAACCTTCATATTAATTGCTATTTCTCTTAATAAACAGATTATTAATACCATCACCATACTGTATGCTATCACCAGCAGTATCATGATAATTGCTTCTAGCTTTGCTTCATTTGATTCATAAAGCATTTCTTTAGAAAAGGCCAGCAGGAATTCAAGAAATTCTACATACACTTTATCTACATACTCTGTAGGTATTAGCATTTAATTTCCCTAGAAAAAAGATGCAGAGCTAGATTTACTATTAACTATGCAAATCTTGTTATGCCCCTATAAGATATGACACACAAAGTGTTAAAAAGAAATAAAATATAATATCTAAGATATTAACCATATCAAAGAATACAATTACAAACTTTCTCTCAACATACTCTTTGAAATAATTTGAACTCATAATTCTTTTGGAACTGCAATTCTAATCAATTTGCAAATGCACTTATAATGGTAAATCAAATGTGTTTTTAGCCACCTTAGTAACGATTCAACCCTTTTATGTTCAGAAATAAAAGATCGAGCATTTTCATGCCACTCATCATCCCCTACATTTGCAAGTTCACATACCGATTTCACAATTTGCTCCATTGAAGCCCTGAAGACAATAGCACTCGTAATAGTCTGTGCCATCCACGCATGTTCCGTTGTTCTTGCAGGGCATTGCATTGCATTCACGAATATCTACACATTAGACGAAAAGGCATATGAATATATGTATTTGAACAACCCTTACAGCATGTTCAAAATTAATCCTATATAAAACAGCAAACACAAATTTTCTCCAATACCAGACATTTGGCAATGATTCAAAGCTTTTGATCAGCATCTTTAAGCAGTAATTTGTTATGCTACTTTTTTTTTATTTGAATAATGTAAATGCTTTGGAATTGGTTGAGCTAGGTGCCTATTCACTTCCAACAAACATTGTTTTATTAATTACAATAAAGAGATAAATGTTAATACTATAACAAAGGAATATTCGTAAATTAGCATTTGAAAATTGATGCTTCGAGGCCCTGAAATATTTTGGAAGTAACTTCTTACTCTCCATAATTATGGATCTGTAATTTAATTAATTAAATCTTGAGAATCATTACAAAATATGTAATACTGTTGTTAATAGTATAACTTAACAGCTCACCTTTGAAGTGTGTTACAATCCCATAAAACAAATATAATAAGATTATTTACTAAATATTCTTGGGTGGTACAAAAGAGATACGTGTTTAAATATATTCATTGTGAAATAATCGAGGTACTAATAATTGAGTATAGATTTAGCGTTGGTGTCTTTAAATTCATTTCATTTGTTGGTATAAGACACAGTACATAATATTTATCTAAAAGTAAAAAAATACTTATTTTATTTCATGAGCATATGTCATAACAAGTGAAACATCTATGTTCAAACTATGCTCAAATTTACCACATACATACATCATTAGTATTTGGTACACACGTTTTATTTTTCAATACAAAATTAAATATTTTGCACTGGTCAGATGTGAATTAGTAAATCATCATGCAAAATGTTTCTCCTGACTATGTGATGGTATCAAAATATTTGTGAATGAGGACCAGTTGTGTGCAAATTTGCATAAGATCAGCACAATACAGAAATTCAATTTCCAAAAATGACACGGTTGCCTGTAGAGTTGGAATAATATTTGTCTTACCTCTTTAAAAACAATGACTGTGACAATCTGGTTATTATTGATAACGTTTACATCTTCGAAGAACTTTATTGGTTAATTTAAAGAGTCATAGAGATTGATCAATAAAGTTCAGAGAAGATATAAACTTTATCTATCAAGATACAATCATATTGCCACAGTCAATTCATGAAAGGAGTTATGAACAAAATATTCAAACTTCATGGCAAATGTGTACCATAATATTGTTCATCTTAATCATGATAATTTTTGAATTATTATGTTTGGTGGAATTTGTACAAACCTTCTGAGCAATTTCTCCCTGTCCATCCAGGCATGCAGACACATGTGTAATTAGCATCACCGGGATTCATTAAGTGGTTTGTGCAGTTCACTTCATTGACACATGGGTTGGGATCACATGCATCAATGTCTTCAGGGCAAAGCAAACAATATCACAGCCACAAAAGAAAATACAACAGAAATAATCAAAATCATGCAAACTAAAATGTTAATCGCCCAATATTTTCCATTATCTGCGAGCTTTGTATTTTGTTCAAATGCAATTTTTAAATTTGTATAAGTTGTGTCTAGCCGTAGATTAGGATTCTTGCATATGTTTGCACTAGTCATATGTGAATACATAAATCATTGTGCAAAATAATTTCTACTAAATATATGGTGGTATCAAAATGAATATAAATTTAACAGAGTGCAAATCTGCTTAACATTTGCATTTATTTGAACTAATTTAGGGGGTTCTAGTAGACGAAAAAGACCATTGATCTTAAGGACCACCCTCACCTCTACAACATTTTCTTTAAACAATCTCTTCTATGATCAATTTTAACTGTTTAATAAATACTTTTTGTTTTTTGTTTTCTTGATATCTTTTAGTATGAATCTTCACAAATAATTTCAATTTGGACCGAGGAAAGGCAGAGGAATACTTGTGAGGAATCAAAATACACATGTTCCATTGTGTTATGCAAGCAACTCAACACTAACAAACTGCATGAAACATAATTTTGTTAATAATTTAGCATCAGTTTTAGTATTTCTATATTATCAGAAGGAAAGGTACCCGCTTCTACCATTCAGATATAAGCATTTTCACATTTGAACGAACTCAATTGTTAAACTACATTACTGGTTAGATTTATCAAACAATTGTTCATGTCATGTCAAACTCAAATATATTTGACCTATTTTCTAGTTAAAGCGGATAAAAAAAAATGACATGGCTGTCACAAGCCCTCTGAAAAATCTTTCAAAAACTGTGCAAACTTTGTACTTTAAAGAGTGATACACTCAGTTCTGACTACATGATCAACACATGTATAAAAATCAATGTATGTGTACAATGTTTGGTACGCGCTTACTTTACATAAGCCTATGATATGATCTAAAACCATATATTAATGATGAATATAAACAAAAATAAATCAGCGCAAATCAAACCTTCATGCAAAACAAAACAAATCTAAATGAGTCGTGCACGGGTTAAAGAATAAATCACAGACACCTCACTGCTCTCTTTGAAATGGGGATGACAGGGTACATAGAAAAATAAATACATATATTAGTTTCCTACATTTATGCACCTGAAACATACATATACTTATATACTTTTATCTGCACATATGTATATCCCTTTTCCTTCATGCTTTTTCTGGGAGACCCTGTAAGAATTATTTCTAGATAATTCTAGGTATTCTAAAGAAGTGTATTTGGAAGGGATATCTAAGCTGCATCATATGTTACCATCTTCACAGAATGTTCCGTTGAATCCTTCCGGACATGAACATGTGTATCTATCGACCAAGTCCATGCAGGTCCCTCCATTCATACAGGGGTTGCTCAAGCACTCATCGATATCTGGACCAAAATAAAAATAGAGTGAAAAATTTCTGCTAGGTTGGCTTCATATCTTATCCATTTCATTTGTTCGCTTTTTGTAGCTCGCGCCTTTGAATGTTTTTGAAAACAGATATATGGCGCCATACAAATACTGTACATCATCATCATCATATACAAAAAGATATATTAAGCCCTGCAGACGCCTTCATTCATACCGGTTCTAATGGAATCCTGAGAATGCAGGGAATGACTGGATTCATACTCAACACTGTTCTGAACGTTTAAGACTACAAATATTGTACAAAAGCCAAATGAGTTCAGTAGAAATTTTGTTTAATAGCTAAGAAGTGAGCATTGAAAATGAGAAAAATTTCAACATAACCTTTGACATTGAGCACCCTATCTCAAGATACAATACTGGATTCTTTTAAATAAATGAGATCACATGATAGGATACAATTCAAATTAAATCTACCACAAAATTTAACTTTTTCCTTTTAACCATAATTCCTCTGTGGGTTGACCGGTATGTGAATGACCTTTGACTTTATATGACCTGGGCCCCGTCTTACAAAGAGTTACGATTGATCCAAATCAATCATAAGTCCTCCAATCAATCGTAAGTTTGCAGTCTCCTATCTCTTATGTACATAGTTGCGATTGATATCAATCACAAATAAGTTGCGATTGATGTCAACTCTTTGTAATACGGGGCCCTGAAATACATTGTGCACGATCCCTACCGTGCACATAAAGAGGACGAAGAAGGTACATCTTAACACACAAGTATTTATAACGAAATGGAAATATAAACTCTAATAATAAGGTTCATAATTTGTTTGATTTGTTACTGAAGCAGGAAATCCTGTGTTTGATATACATCTTAGAGTTGTGCTGATAACAAACACCCCCTCTCTTAGTCAAATGGGTTCCAGGCGAGAACCTTGATCACAATTTGTTTTAAAACACAGATTTAACACTTCACCATCTAAAGGATAAAGATAATTTGGGACCAGCAAGAGCATCCTGATTTGTTGTGTTGATGACTGCAAGTTCTTTCATTGATTTTGGAAGGGGCATCTTACTGTCACCTATTCAGATAATTAATAAAAACTATGCACTACTTGGTGTACATCTAAACAATGTTTCAGATGTCATACCATCACATATCGTTGTGCTACCAGTTTGCGGTTGATAGCCAGGATCACACACGCAATTAAAGCTTCCTACTGTGTTCACACAAACACTTGTTGTAGCATCACATAAGCTTGGAACAAGGCACTCATTTATATCTGTTCAAGAAATATAAATTAAGGGATTTTTGAGCAAGAGCATTGGATGAAATTAAAGTTCATAGTGGGGTCATACGATGTAAGCGAGCTTCACTCCATCCAATGTACACAATATTTTCTTTAGAAATAAAAACTTGAAGGGTATTTGAATAATGTCCCATTGATGAAATCAACATGAACTTTGACATTACCACTTTTAATTTTTCCTTTAAACAATAATTAGTCTGGGGGTTGACCGATAGGTATATGACCTCTGACTTTAAATGACATGAAATACATTGTGCATGATCTCTACTTTGCACACAAAGAGGAAGAAGGTCGCTCTAAACACCCTAATTTTAATAACAAAATGAACATATAAAAACTAATAATAAAGTTAAGAATTTGTTTGATTGGTTAATAAGGCACCATATCATGTACCTGGTATATATCTCACATTTCCGCTGTTAGTTAACAAAACTCTTTCCATGTTTAATAGGCTCCACACAAGTACGTTGATACCACAATATAATTTCAGACCGACTAAACACTTCATCTTCTAAAGGTTAAAGAGAATCTAGGACTGGCAAGGGCCTCCTGATATTTTGTGTGGCTGACTAAACGTTCTTTCATTCATTTTGAAAGGGCCACCTTAATGTCAGCTAATCAGATAAATAATAAACAGTTAGTCAGGTCAATATACGGTAAAACACACCCCAACCCCAAAAAATTGCAACAAAAGGTTTTTTTAAAGGTTTCTAGTAGTATTTGACCTCAGGAATAACATACTAAAAGTATACCGAAATCGAAGCTTCAGAAAGCTGTTTTTTAAAGATGGCGTCCAAGATGGCCGCCGATACCTAAATATGGCCATAAATCACTTATTATCCATCCTAGAGACATTATTTTGGTGTCTATCCCATGGTTTCGGGGGTCAGAGAATTCATTGAGACAAGTAAGAATGGTTTGTGATGGTCTAGGAAACTCCAAAATCCAAGATGGCGTCCAAAATGGCCGCCATATCATGAAAATGGCCATAAGTCACTTATTACCCACCCTCACTTTTTGGTTCTGCAAATGTAATTTTTGACGGCCATGGTGGAGGGGCGTCAATTAATGATAATACACACTACAGCGACGTGGGCAGAATGCCCATCCAGTTGTCAGACATTGTATTCTCAGGCAAGAAGGATGAGTTTTTATCAAGAGACTGCAATGAGCAGGGACTCATGAATCCCATTAGTGAGGAACGGAGGAAGAGTAATTGCACCGTAATCAATGTATCCGGGGATGCAGATGTACATATTGCTAAAGCTGCAGTGAATTCTTCTCGTCGTCAGTCTACTACTCTGATTTGAGAAGGCACTGACCTATTGGTGTTACTCTTGCATTACGCGGATGTAGATAGCAGGGAACTATACTTCTACTCTTACAATGCAGCCAAGGCTCCGAAGGTGTATAACATTAAGCAGTTGAAAGTGGACCTGGGTAAAGATCTATGCTCACAACTACTTTTTCGAGATGCCTACACTGGTTGTGATTCGACTTCCAGGATATTCGCAATCGGAAAGAGAGCAGTCTTCCAGAAGCTTGTGAAATGCAGCCCCACTTAAGAATCCAGTGCTAGTACTTTTCTTCTCCCAAGTCAGCCAAAGGAACTAATAGAGGAACTTGGTATCAAAGCAATGTCTGTCATGTTTGGTTGCTGCTGTAATGACTCACTTGCATCATTACGATACAACTTGTTCGTCTAGAAAATTGCCAATGCGACTCCCTCCTACGTCAGCCTCCACCAAATTCCACTCCCTCAGAACATATTACCAAGTCATAGCATGGATGGAGAGTGAACTAGAAATGCAATCGTGTCACAACGATGTGCGTGCAATGACGCCATGTTTCGTAGATGGCCATTGCTTAACACATATGAGTCGCTTTATGTATAGGAGTACCTGGAAACAAACTTATTTATCAGAAAGCACCTGCTAGAAAAAACAGGGCCCCATTCCAGAAAACCTATTATCGATAACTAGTCGAAATACCGGTTTAAAGCTACATGTACTCAAATCACTGCAATTGATTGGCTGTGAGCAATTTTGATATATGATGTTGTAATGTGATAATTGTTATTGATAAATGTTTCATGAAACAATATATCCATATTTTCAAGTTGTTGAATGAGTAACTAGATCCATGTTTCTCATTATGAAATATAAATACATTTGTATCCTGAAAAGATAGGCACAATCAATACCAGTTTGACAGTTCATTCCTGTATATCCAAGGACACAACTGCAGGTGTAACCATTAACCATGTCCGTACAAGTCCCTTCATATTCACAGGGATCAGAACCACATTAATTGATATCTGAAAAACAAA